TTTATCCATGTATGGAGAGTTTGTTTTGTAGTTAAGAAGCGGCAATTTAATAATTATTGATTTTAGGAGCAAAGTTATAGTACAGTGTATGAAGAACATACAGGATAGTATAATTTTTTTAGTAACACATTGGCCATCTCCCACCAAGGCAGGGTGGCCCAAAAAAGAAACTTTCATCATCATTCACTCCATCACTGTCTTGCCAGAGGCGCGCTTATGCTACAGTTATAAAACTGCAACATTAACACCCCTCCTTCAGAGTGTAGACACTGTACTTCCCATCTCCAGGACTCAAGTCCGGCCTGCCAGTTTCCCTGAATCCCTTCATAAATGTTACCTAACTCACACTCCAACAGCACATCAAGTATAGTATAAACCTGTTTATTATACTGGGTAAAGTGTATTGTAGAATTATTATGACAGTAGGACTGCAGAGGAGGGAAGATTTAGGAAGGGTAGAGGATGTGCAGACCAAGTGTGTACGAAGCATACGAGTGAAAAGTATACAAAGGTAAAAAGCCTTTTGTCGAATTTGTGGATTTCAAAAAATCATGTGATAGTATAGCTGAGGGAGCCATGGGGTAAATGTCATAAATTTACGAGATATAATGTAATTACAAAAAGCAGTAATGAGTTTTTATGCAGAGAGCGAGGCTCAGGTTAGGGCATGTAAGAGGGAAGGAGATACAGTGGAACCTTGGTTTTCGTCATTAATTCGTTCCAGAAAGTCTGATGATAACCGAATTTGACGAAAACTGAAGCAATATTTCCCATAGAAAATAATGTAAATCCAATTAATCCGTTCCAGACACCCAAAAGTATAAACAAATACGTTTTATAGAGAATACCTGTGTAGTTTTATATACAGAAAACAATGAGAAATATAAAGGACTAATGAAATGGATAAATGAACATTTAACATCACTTGTACCTTTATTGAGAACTCTTGTTGGTGCACGGAAGATGGTGAGGACGGGAGAGGGAGGAGAGGTTATCTCTACCACCATCACTACTACCTTCTACCACCATCACTACTACCCTCTATCACCATCCCAACCACCCTCTACCAACATCATTACCACCCTCTACCAACATCACTACTACCCTCTACCACCATCACTACCACCCTCTACCACCATCCCAACCACCCTCTACCAACATCACTACTACCCTCTACCACCATCACTACCACCCTCTACCACCATCACTACCACCCTCTACCACCATCACTACCACCCTCTACCACCATCACTACCACCCTCTACCACCATCACTACCACCCTCTACCACCATCCCAACCACCCTCTACCACCATCCCAACCACCCTCTACCACCATCCCAACCACCCTCTACCAACATCACTACCACCCTCTACCAACATCACTACCACCATCACTACTACCCTCTACCAACATCACTACCACCATCACTACTACCCTCTACCAACATCACTACTACCCTCTACCAACATCACTACCACCATCACTACTACCCTCTACCGACGAGAAACAAACCCAGACTGACTCAGAACATGTGGGATGCTTTGTGTGGGCACGGGCAGACGGACATGTTCAGTATGGCAGACAAAAACTGAGGTGATTAATGAAAACTGGGACAAAATTTTGACGAAAAAAGTAATTAACACCGGATTCGACAAAAACCAGCGCAAACGAAAACCGAGGCTCCACTGTATCCACTTCCCAGTAAAAGCGCGACAGAAAGACGTGTGATGTCACCACTGTTTAATATATTTAAAGATGGGGTTGTAAAAGTGAATGTTATAGTGCTGGATAGAGGTGTGGGATTGCAAGATAGTGACTCTGATACTAAGTGGGAGTTATCACAATTACTCTTTAGTGATCACATTTCTTTCTGAGGGATTCTGAAGACAGGTTGCAAAGGTTAATGGGTGAATATTGGAGGGAATTTAAAAGAAAATTAAAAGTGAATACAGAAGTCTGAGCAATGCTATAATGAATATAAGGTTAGAGGGAGCGAGTTTGGGGATAAGTGGATATATAGTGGAACTTCAGTATGCATCCCTGATTCGTTCCAGAAGGCTGTTTGAGTGCCGCTCCATTTGAGTATTGAACAAGTTCTTCCCAACCAATTTTCTGTTTGGTTGGCTGTTATCACTAATCTTTGTAGGCCCCATGGTGACTTATTTATAAAAAAAAAAAAAAAAAAAAAAAGACACGCGAAATAGTTTATAGCAAAGTTCTGGCAGGTCGTATTTCTTTGGTCGAGTGCTGTGCTTTGTTCGAGCAAGAAGCTGGTTGTATACCGAGGTTCCACTGTATTTAGATATTTAGGAGTGGACATGTCAGCAGACGAGTCTATAAAAGATAAGGCAAACAATGGAGTAACTGAGACAAAAAGGTGGGAGGTATGTTGAAGCATCTGTGGAAAGAACATCTATGGAGGAGAAAAAATGTAATGTACCAGAGTAGAGTGGTACAACAATTAAGAGTGAGGCATGGGTTTTGAATGTTGCAGTGAGAAAGTTGGAGAGTAATGCATGGTATGAATATCATGCAGAGAATTAGGGAAGTAGAAATTATAAGGTGATGTGAGGGGCTCACCTAGGGTTTCATTCAAGAGGGCTGAGGAGGGATTGTTGGTCTGGGCATGAAACAAGAATAAAAGGGATAGGATGAGAAAGAGGGTGTATATATCCAGGGTGGAAGGTAGAAGGGGTTGGGGTTATCCCTGGAATGGTTGAAGGGAGTTGGGATACAAGAGGCTCAGTTTTAAGGGCTTAAGCATCCATCAGGCTTGAGTGAGCATGTTAGACAGCCACATATGCAATTTTTTTTTTTTCAACAAACTGGCCGTATCCCACCGAGGCGGGGTGGCCCAAAAAGAAAAACAAAAGTTTCTCTTTTCAAATTTAGTAATTTATACAGGAGAAGGGGTTACTAGCCCCTTGCATTTTAGCCGCCTCTTACAACACGCACGGCTTACGGAGGAAGAATTCTGTTCCACTTCCCCATGGAGATAAGAGGAAATAAACAAGAATAAGAACTAGAAAGAAAATAGAAGAAAACCCAGAGGAGTGTGTATATATGTGCTTGTACATGTATGTGTAGTGTGACCTAAGTGTAAGTAGAAGTAGCAAGACGTACCTGAAATCTTGCATGTTCATTAGATAGAAAAAAGGACACCAGCAATCCTACCATCACATATGCAATTAGGTATCTTTATTCTGAAACGTTTCGCCTACACAGTAAATGAAACTGTTCTCCAGACTCAGCACTACATCTTCAAGTGTGATGGACTGATTACATCATCTTCAATGCTTCTGCTCCCTCCTCTGTACTTGACTGAAGAAGCCTACTCTGTAGGCGAAATGTTTCGGAATAAAGATTACTAACCGTTACACACGTGTGACTTATCAACTTGTCCGTACTGTATACCATTATCATTCATTTTAAGTAGCAGTGAATGGTAGCAAGTGGTAAGAAGGTAATTTATGAAGCGATTCGGAAGAGCTAGTCAACCCGACTGATTCCTGGAGGTGAGAAGGGCAGTACCTGTGATGAACCCCTCTTGTAATTTTTAAGATCAAATATTTCTCTTAAAGTTATAATAATTAAGATTCCTAGCTAACAAAAATACATCCTTATAATGAATCTATTAGTATAGTAGGTCATTTGGCTTGGAAATGCTTATGTCAGCTTGTTATGATGCAAAATAGTGAGGGCATCATGAACCCTCTTGCCTCCCCCATGTTGGAGGTCATTTCTCCACAGTGCCTGTATGATCAAGGAGACCTGGGACTGCTGCAGCCAAAGGGTTATCTGAATCATAAGGTCAGCACACTTCTGACAAGTTAGTGGTTGAATGAATGATGATTAATGTGTTTTCTTTGGATCACCCTACTTTTGAGGCACATGGCCAATGAGATAGAAAAGAACATATTGGCTGTCTCCCACCAAGGCAGGAGACCCCCAAAAAAGAAAAGAAAGCATTTCTTTTTAGTGATTTATACAGGTGTCACTAGCCCTTTGCTGCCAGCGTATATGATAAATATGTTTACCAGGTTTAGTATTATATGACGTACCTTTCACTTGTGAAAAACAAGCAACAATGTTTTATTTTTTTAATTTCTTGGTCTGCAATTTGTTGCATTTTCATTTGTATATATACATTATGTTTTACATACATGAACAATCCTAATTTATATTAGTATTTTTCTTAGATTAAGTCTCCTGAAATGCTTTGAATAACAATGGGCTTTTTTATGCAAGAAATCTTCCTAACAAATCCTCGTCAAAAATAAATAATTATGATCCTCATTATGTTTATTATATATCCTTAAAATTTTAAATTTTAAGTGAAAATGTACACAATAAATTCCCTTCTGGAAATATATCCCTCTAATTTTGAACTATTTTCCACTAAAGAAAGGTGACCCGAAGATGGGAATATTTCCCATAGCTCAAATAACCTTCTGAACCACAACATCCATATTTATCCTTCATTATACAGATAAATGGGTGTCTCAAATCTTTGTCACTGGTATCATAATACAAGGGCATTATGAATCTCTGGGGTTCCCAGACTTTTAAGGTCATGTACTCCCTTCCGAACTACGACAGAGTCCGTGCACCCAATCATGTTATGAATGTGTTTACAACCGCATGCATCACAACACACATCCATTATTCCACCGGCTGGTTAGATGCTCCGTGAAATACTTTATAGTTAGCTGAAGAGTATTTCACTGGGGTGTATTAATTAATTTAAAATAATGATGTTCCAAATCACTGTGCAATATGTTAGAAATCAAATCAAAATGTATACCAATACAAATTTGCTATTATATAATTCATCTTGCTCTACCTGGCCGATGAGGCCAGAGACTGGGAGGCCTGGCCTAGGACTAAGCCACAGGGACAGCAACTCCTGGTACTGACCTAACTTGAGGCATCCCCAGATTTCAAGTCGCAAACACACACCAAAGTTTGGGAAGCATCAATCAGCTTAATGGGACTTACCGTAAGCACTGCTGTTAGGGCTCCCAAGATGCCTTCAGGGTCATATGGAGCGTCATTATTGTAAATCATTCTACAAGTTGGACTCCGATAGACGTGTGCCTTGCCAAGCACTTTAATATCCACATACGCAGCAGCACCGCCCGTACAGTTGCCATGCTCACCTCCGTTGTACAAACCTCCGGGACCCAGGTATCCCCTGAAAACATGAAAACACTATGTAGCTGACAAATCTTAATGGACTGTCAGTTTCAGCAAAAGCTTTCCCACCTAAGCTATACACAAATAACCTGCACATACAGGAAAAACTTAGAGACCTTTCAGTCAGACTCGGACCATTAACTAAGCTAACTATGCAATTTGCGTACTTTGTTTTTCAAACAAACTGGCTGTATCCCACTCAGACAGGGTGACCTAAAATTAAAAATAAAAGTTTTCTTTTTAAATTTAGTAATATTTACAGAAGAGGTTACTAGCACCTTGCTTCCGGCATTTCAGTCGCTTGTTACAAAACGCATGACTTACGGAGGAAGAATTCTGTTCCACTTCCCCCATGGAGAAATTTGCATGCATCTGCTATTTATAAACTGCTCTCCATTATTAAGTCATACAAAACTACCTACTAAAACTATTCATTTAGCATCAAAACTGAATTACTGTACAGAGGGAGATCGTAGTTTCATAGTCAACTTACATATTCTACTTAAAAGATTATTCCTGCTGTTTTTTTTGTACAAACACTTGTTTTAAACCAAAATTACAAACTTGATAATAAAATAATCATGTATGGGTACTGTACATGCACTTATGTCCAGTACAATACTTATATCTTATATTGCAAATTAGTTATGCACTCTAAGCATACAGTAATTATCTCGATATACCAGCTAATAATTTCTGAGATCAATGAGCCTGTGGCCTGGTCTCAGACCAGGACTCAAACTGAAAATGAACTTGCGCATGAATAATAACTATTAAATATTCAGGAGAGTAAAATAAGTCCAGTGGAACCTCAGTACTCAAACAGCTCCCCAATCAAACGAAGCTCAGCGCTCTACCAAACAAACACGACCTGCCAGAGCTTTGCTGTAAACTATTTCGTGTTTCTTCGCATTTTTTGGCTGTCTTTTAATATTATGTATATGTATAAACAAGTAACCATGGGCCTACGAAGATTAGTGATAACAGCCAACCAAAGAAAATGGCTTGAGAAAAATGTGTTCGATACTCAAACAGATCGGCACTCCAACAGCCTTCTGGAATGAATTAGGTTTGAGTACCGATGTTCCACTGAACATTCTGAATATAAATACGGCATCTTCTATATTCAAGAGAAAAACTAGCAATTCTGCCAGAATACATTAAGTCCTCAACTTACGAACATGTTGAAACTCTTTAGCAGTGTGTGTAATACCATTATTATATTGTTATTTTACAAATACATATTTGTAAGTTGGAGACTTCCTGTATTATGAATATTATACATAATTCATGAGGTCCCCAATGTGTAAGTTGAAGACTTACTGCACAAAAGTAATAGGCTTAATTTCATAATTTTAAAGCAGTAGGGCGGTATCTCACTGAATGGGTACTACTTACCAAGCTACTCCCTATTTATTTTTTATAACACAGGCTGTCTTCCACTGAGGCAGGATGACCCGAAATTTTTTTTATTTTTTTTATTATTAACAAATCGGCCATCTCCCACTAAGGCAGGGTGGACTAAAGAAAAACTTTCACCATCATTCACTCCATGACTCTTGCCAAAGGCACACTTACACTACAGTTATAAAACCAACATTAACACCCCTCCTTCAGAGTGCAGACACTGTATTTCCCATCTCCAGGACTCAAGTTTGGTCTGCCAGTTTCCTTGAATCCCTTCATAAATATCACCTTGCTCACATTCCAACAGCACGTCAAGTCCAAAAAATCATTTGTCTCCATTCACTCTTATCTAATATGCTCATGCATGCTTGCTGGAAATCCAAGCCCCTCTCACACAAAACCTCCATTAACCGCCCCCCTCCAACCTTTCCTAAGCCAATCCCTAACCCACCTTCCCTCCACTACAGACTTGTACACTCTTCAAGTCATTCTATTTTGTTCAAGCCTCTCTACATGTTCAAACCACGTCAACAAAAGTTCTACTTCTTTTTACATTTAGTAACTTATACAGGAGAAGGGGTTACTAGCTCCTTGCTGACGGCATTTCAGTCACCTCATACGACACACATGGCTTTCGGAGGAAGGATTCTAACCCATTTCCCAATGGAGACTAATCTAGATCATCAGTTTTCACAGCTCAAGTAACATACTTGGGACATCCTGGGACAACAAGGCCAAATGTGATAGCTGTGTGAACAATGACCAGGACAGTAGTGATGGTCCACTGCACTCCAGACCTCATAATATCACGCACCTTCCAGTACCACACATACTGTAACATTGGAAATAAAAAAAAAATGATCAAGAAACTACAGAAGCTACTTGACTTACAATGGTTCAACTTATGATATTTCAATTTTACGATATTGCAAAAGCAATTAAAGTGGTACCCCGAGTTTCGTACAGCTCCCAACACGAACAATTATTTAAGTGTATTTTTGTAAGTGCTTTTCTAAGTATTTTGGGGGTCTGATTCGGACTAATCTAATTTACGTTATTCCTTATGGGAACAAATTTGTTCGGTAATGGCACTAACAGCCTTCTGGAACGAATTACGTATGAAACTCTGGGTATCACTATTTTGGAGATGAAACTCTCCATAATTAATTACCCAACATGAAGGCAGCAAGTCCATAACATGTATTCATTTATGTATTTAATTTTTAATTCTAATATATTTAGATAATTACAGTAATTATTTATTTACTTACTTCATGACAGTACATATTTATCATATATTCACATTCAACTTACGATATTTTCAACTTACGATGGGTTTGACGGAACATAGCCCCATTGTAAGTCAGGGAGCACCTGTATAAATGATACAAATCATTTCTTCTTTTACAATGATTTTTTTCCTTAACAAGGCAGGGTGACCCAAAAAGAAATGCTTTCATAATTTTTCTTCGTTTTACAGTTAGCAATGTAAACAGAAGAGGTTACTGGCTCCTTGCTACCTTTATATAATGATATTAGATTAGATTATTTTACCTCTGTACAATGTTTGTACAGAGGTGAAAGACATTTAGGTGTGCATGCAGAAAGCCACTTAATACACACAGCATTTCAGGCAAACTTGGAACTAACCGAGTGTTTTTATATACATGTACAGTCTTTTAGGCGATTGTAACTATAAATTTAAGAGTTACAATGAATACAAGAGAATTGAATGTCCTATTGGTAAAAGCTATATGGCTTTTATCAAGTTTAATTATTCGCTCCGTCTTTGGATCACTTTACCTTGGAGAGAGGTTGTCGGGTCAAAAAAAATTGTCCGGTTATATTTGTTGGCTCTGCACTTGCTGTGGAAATGTCAATGGCTTAAAAGAATGTGTCTGACAATATTGCCCTCCTAGGTCTATCACCTTCAAGCAAAATATACACAAATATGAATTTAAAAATCACATGTGCCAAGACAAATAATGACTCAAATAACTAAAGACTTCAACAAAAGCAAACAAAAAATGTAAAGACAGGTGGCTAACTATCACTACAAACACAAGATTTTTATATATAAGTCATTACTACAAAACACTTTTGTAAAAATTATTTATACTTCTCTCACAATCCGCCACACTAATACACAATCTACCCACACTTATGAGAGGGGAAGTAATGATGACTTTACAGTATGACTTGTCAATGGCCAAAGGTGTCCTGTAGCACGATCGCTAGCACACTCACCTCACACACTGAATCCAGGGACCGATTCCCCGGCACGGCTGCAAAACATTAGAATGCGTTTCCACAAGACACTTGTTGTCCCTGTCACCCATCAGTAAAATGGGTGTGATAAATGGTTTAAAACAGACAAGTTGAAGATTGAGACACTTATGCAACATATGGGAATCTTTATTGAAGAAATGTTTCGCCACACAGCGACTTCATCAGTCCATACAAAGGAGAATGGTGAAGAACAGGAGTTTGAGGCAATCAGTCCCTGAGCCTCGAGTTGATGTGATCAGTTCAAGATTGATGGACTGATCACATTAACTCAATGCTGAGGGACTGATTATCTCAAACTTATCCTGTTCTTCACCATTGTCCTTTGTATGGACTGATGAAACCACTGTGTGGCAAAACATTTCTTCAATAAAAATTCCCATGTGTTGCATAAGTGTCAATCTTCAACAGTAAAATGAGTACCTGGGTGTTAGTGGACTGGTGTGGGTCACATCCCGAGACAAAACTGACCTAATTTGCCCGAAATGTTCTGCATAACAAGGGGCTTTCTATATAGTAGCATGATGTCAGCTAGGTCTGTTTACCTTGCACATGTACCTGGGAGTGATAATGTCAGAGGATCTCATTTTCAAAGACCACAATATTGTATCAATCGCATCTGCTAGAAAAATGACAGGATGGATAATGAGAACCTTTAAAACTAGGGATGCCAAGCCCATGATGACACTTCAGGTCACTTGTTCTATCTAGGCTGAAATATTGCTGTACACTAACACCACCTTTCAAGGCAGGTGAAATTGCTGACCTAGAAAATGTACGCAGAGCCTTCACAGCGCACATAACTGCAATAAAACATCTAAATTACTGGAAACGCTTGAAGTTCCTCAATATGTATTCCCTGGAATGCAGGCAGGAGAGATACATGATTATATATACTTGGAAAATCCTAGAGGGATTAGTACCAAATTTGCACACGAAAATCACTCCCTATGAGAGCAAAAGACTTGGCAGACAACGCAGCAATAAGAGACAACATATTAAGTGTCAGGGGGCCAAGACTGTTCAACTGCTTCCCAGCATACATAAGGGGGATTACCAATAGACCCCTGGCTGTCTTCAAGAAGGCTCTGGATAGGCACCCAAAGTCAGCACCTGATCAGCCAGGCAGTGTTTCGTATGTCAGTTTACATGCGGGCAACAGTAACAGCCTGGTTGATCAGGCCCTGATCCACCACGGGGCCTGGTCTCAGACCGGGCCGTGGGAGCACTGACCCCTGAAACCCTCTCCAGGTATTATTACTACATGGTTGGATCAAAACGTTATCATTACATTATACAAAAATCAACGAGATACTTGTGCAGTACTTGGGTATCGTTATTCTGGAAACGTCTTGCCAGCCAGTGGCTTCTTTGGTCCAATACAGAGAAAGGTGGAAGATGAGGAGTTTGAGGTAATCAGTCCCTCAGCCTGGAGTCGATGTGTTCAGTCTAATGTTGATGACGCCAGTAGCTGGTGAAACATTATTATTATTATAATCAAAAAGAAGCGCTAAGCCACAAGGAACCTGGGGAAAAAATTCCAGAACAAAGATCAATGCATTTCATTTATCAATGCATCGGTTTTCTAAACCATTTATCCTCAGTACAGAAATAACCCACATACAGGAGAATGAAATTTATGGCAACATTTGGGCCCGACTTAAATCATTAACCAGCGAGCTACTAGTGCAGTTATTCCCAAATTTCTGTCCATCACGTACCCCTTGATGGTATGTTATTAATGACACATACTTCTGAACAGATATGAAAAATAACATTTTACAATAATGCCTCGGTGGGAGACGGCCGACTTGTTGAAAAAAAAAAAAAAAAATCTGAGATAAAGACATAGGTAGAAAATAATACTTGGAGAGGGTTTTGGGGTCAACGTTCCTCCAGCCCAGTCTGTGACGTTATATTTTCACAATAAGAATAAATTTTGCAGCATGTTTTTGGGTATATATAGCACTGAAGAAACATTTCTTTTAAATAACAATCTCTCAATATTTGGGAATTTTATGTTCATACATAAAAAATATTTCAATGCACTGGATGTCTCCCACTGAGGCAGGCTGACCCCAAATGAAAAAATTTTTTTTTTTACATATACAGTGGACCCCCGCATAACGATCAGCTCCCAACTCGACCAATTATGCAAGTGTATTTTTTTAAGTGCTTTTGTAGGTGTATTTTTGGGGGTCTGAAACGGACTAATCTAATTCACGATATCTCTTATGGGAACAAATTCGGTCTATAACGGCACCCAAATAGACTTCTGGATTGAAATAATATCGTTATGCGGGGTCCACTGTACTAATTTATACAGGAGAAGTTACTATCCCCTTTCTCCCAGCGTTTTAGTTGACTCTTATGACATGTTTGACTTATGGAGTAAGGATTCTTTACCATTTTTTCATGGAGAGAAAAGGAAATAGGAGCAAACACTACTAAGAAAATTGAAGAAAATCAGACAAGCGTGTATATATATACAGTGGTACCTTGGGATACAAACTTATTTCGCTCCAAACGGCTGTTCGAATGCCGATACCGAGCGAATTTGTTCCTGTAAGGAATAATGTAAATTAGATTAATCCATTTCAGACCCCCTAAAAATACACTTGCAAAAGCACTTACATAAATACACTTGCATAATTATTCGCATTTTGAGCTGTTCGTAACCCGAGGTACCACTGTTTATATATACAGTGGACCCTCCCTTTTTGTCATTAATCCGTCCCAGAGAATTTGACGAAATGTAACATTAACGAAAACTGAAACCACTTTCCCCATAAGAAATAATGTAAATCCAATTAATCCATTCCAGACTCCCAAAAGCATTAACAAAAATAATTTTTTTTTTTAGAGATTACATAGATTTACATACAGAAAAGAATGACAAATGTATTATAAAGCACTATTACATGTATAAATGAACATTTAACATCACACTTACCTTTACTGAAGACTTGTTGGTGTATGGAAGACAGGGAGGAGGGGAGAGGGAGGACTGACTATTGTTTGGAAGGGGAATCCCCTTCCATAAAGACTTCCAGTACCCAGTCCTTATCCTGGGTTGCTTCCCTTTTATTTTTTAATGGCACTAGGACCAGCTTTAGAGTCACTGGACCCTTGTCGCACAAAAAAACTCTCCAGAGAACTCTTGTAGTTCTATCCTCTACCACAATCACTACCACCCTCTACCACTATCACTACCACCACCACTACAATCATTTTCTTTAAAATTCTAGCGTGTTTCTCACCTTTACCAAAGGACTGACACTAGCACCTTTCTTTGGGCCCACGGTGGCTTATTTAGAAGTCACACAAAATAAACCAGTGCAAAAAACAACAAATTATTATGAAATGTTTCCTTTGACCTCGCAGGACAATGTTCACTCAACGAGGAACACAGTGACACTTCCTCAGAATTCGTGTGTGGGAAGTTGTGTGCGCGCAGGTATACCCAGACATGTTTCGTACCACCGATGAGAATGGAGGACAGTAACGAAAACTGAGCCAATATTTTTACGAAAAAAGTAGGCGATAACTGAAATTCGCAAAAACAGAGCCAATGAAATGGGAGGGTCCACTGTATCTGTACATGCATGTGTAGTGTGACCTAAGTGTAAGTAAGTAGCAAGATGTTTGTTATTTTGCATGTTTATGTGACAGAAAGAGAGACATAAAAAATCCTATCACTGCGTAAAACAATTACAGGTTCATCTATATAATATTAAATATAAACTAAAAAACATCAACAATGATAACAGCAAATTATAATAACTCACTCGTGAACCCTCTAAAATTGCCTTCATGTACCCCTGGGGGTGCGCATGCCCAAATTTGGGAACCCCAGTAATACAGAATGAGAGATGAAAATGAATGCGGCCTTTGAAATAAGTCAAACTTTAAAAACTGTACCAACTGCTCGTCAGCTAACTTTCTTAGTGCACATACAATTGTAGTTAAATGAATAAGAAATCCTACTTAATAGTCCATGTCTAATTCTTCAGTAGTCTCTAAGCATTAGAATTAGTTTGCCCAAAATGCATTACATACTAGTGGCTTTCTTTTGTGCCTAACACTGTTTCATTACATGTAAACTACATTATGTCTGTAACATATAAAACAAAAAAAAAAAAATTGAAATTTCTTAGTACGAGACCAACCTCTGGGGATTCCTGTGGATTCATCAGGTACACCTCCATCAATGCTGTGATGCCGTAACAAATTGAGAAGCGCTGCAGGACGCCCATGATCCGGAAGGTGGGCATGTAGTTATGACCATTGCCACTAAAGAGCACAATCAATATCAGTGATATTTTACGAGAGCACAGAGTACATGAGATTATCTCCAGGATAAACTTACTTAGCTAGTGTGTTCTATAAAAAGAGGACTGCCAAACTGGAAGACCTTAAGCATGTGAACGTACAATTACACAACATGAAAATAAAGGAAGTCAGTAAGACTTGCGCTAACAAAGTTGCCTGGAGACAAACACACAACCTTCCATCTGCATAATTAACCCTTAAACTGTCCAAACGTAGATCTACGTTCACGTGCGTAGCGCTCTGACCTTGATTTTCCCCATTTGAAAGTACATAAAAAAAAGTAGATCTACGTTCGGAGCCCCCCCGCATGTGGATGCAAATCTACGTTTGGACAGTTTAAGGGTTAAACACATGCAACAAACGAGCCTATTTTTTTTTTCTCATTTAAGGATATTTTTAAGCTATATCCATAGTATCAAAAAAAATATACAAGTCAATACCATTAGCAAGAGAATAATTTTTTAAAACCCGAAAGTGTTATATAATACATTAAATTTGAAAAAAATTATTTTACAGGCCATTAATGCTAAACTCCCTAAAGGCTATAGGAAAGAGATACACAAATACCCACTTTAAGGAGGGAAATGAGCAAGGGAAGGAGGATTTCAAGGGTATTATTTCCCCGTGCTCAATAATGACCCCTTATGGTAGGATGTGTATAGACTTTACCACTGCAAAGCACTTAAAAACAAAAGACTGTAGCTTACTCTTCTCTTATAGAAACAAGTGATCAAGGTCCCAGGACCGAAACGTTTTCTAATAAATATGTCATAGTGTTTGCTTACGTGTCTTTCTAAACCAAGTGGAAGATAGGTATTAATAAAGGGGATATTAATAAGGTCTTGAGGACATCTCTCCAAGAGAGAATCCGCAGTAATGGATTTAAATTAGATAAGTTTAGATTTAGAAAGGACATAGGAAAGTATTGGTTTGGAAATAGGGTAGTTGATGAGTGGAACAGTCTACCTAGTTGGGTTATTGAGGCTAGGACTTTGGGTAGTTTCAAATTTAGGTTGGATAAGTACATGAGTGGGAGGGGTTGGATTTGAGTGGGACTTGCACATCAGAGCTTATTTCTTGGGTAGCATTGAAAATTGGGTTGGGCAAATGTTTTGTTAGTGGTATGAATTGTAAAGGACCTGCCTAGTATGGGCCAATAGGCCTGCTGCAGTGTTCCTCCTTTCTTATGTTCTTGTGTTTTTATAGAAACAAAATATGCTGACAAAAGCAAAGTTGGATTTCGCATAAATACAACTTGCTGTTTCACACTCACTCTGATATATCTCAAAACAAACACTGTTTTTTTTTTTACCTGTTTATTATGAGTCCCAGAAAGAAAAGAATGGTGCATCTCTTGAGGATGTGAAGAAGCATCATGTACCTCTTGGTGGTACGACGTAGCTGCGACCGAATGGAGAATATCAAACTCACTCCCATTATCCACAAGAACCTGGTGATTAGAAGGAAATTGGTCACCCTTATTCACACGAGCCTACCGATTTAGAACTTTACCCACTATCAACATAGTTACTCCCATTATCTACAAGAGCCTGCCGACTACGCAAGAGCCCGCCGACTACGCAAGAGCCCGCCGACTATGCAAGAGCCTGCCGACTACGCAAGAGCCCGCCGACTACGCAAGAGCCCGCCGACTATGCAAGAGCCCGCCGACTACGCAAGAGCCCGCCGACTACGCAAGAGCCTGCCGACTATGCAAGAGCCCGCCGACTACGCAAGAGCCCGCCGACTACGCAAGAGCCCGCCGACTACGCAAGAGCCCGCCGACTACGCAAGAGCCCGCCGACTATGCAAGAGCCCGCCGACTACGCAAGAGCCCGCCGACTATGCAAGAGCCCGCCGACTACGCAAGAGCCCGCCGACTACGCAAGAGCCCGCCGACTACGCAAGAGCCCGCCGACTATGCAAGAGCCCGCCGACTACGCAAGAGCCCGCCGACTACGCAAGAGCCCGCCGACTACGCAAGAGCCCGCCGACTACGAAAGAGCCCGCCGACTATGCAAGAGCCCGCCGACTATGCAAGAGCCCGCCGACTATGCAAGAGCCCGCCGACTATGCAAGAGCCCACCGACTACGCAAGAGCCCGCCGACTACGCAAGAGCTCGCCGACTACGCAAGAGCCCGCCGACTACGCAAGAGCCCACCAACTAAAGCGAAATGGATCACCCTTACTCACATTTACCTATTGATTAACCCTTTGAGGGTTTTCGTCGTACTAGTACGTTTTACGCGTAGGGGTTTTTGACGTACTAGTACTCATAAATTCAAGCGGCCTCAAATCTAGTGGGAGAAAGCTGGTAGGCCTTCATATGAAAGAATGGGTCTATGTGGTCAGTGTGCACAGTCTAAAAAAAATCCTGCAGCACACAGTGCATAATGAGAAAAAAAAAACTTTGACCATTTTTTTTTAATAAATAGGATTTGCAGTGTATTTCGTAGGTTTTTTTGTTTATTTAGTTTTTTGGTTCTTTTTATAGAATGGAAGACAATTACAGAAATTGAGTAATTTTTAAGGGTTTTTCAAAGAAAAGGGGCCTTTTAAATTGGCCAAGTAGCAGAATGTTCTTTTTTAACCCAAAATTCAAAAGAAACAAATGTGCCAAGGGCAATACACGTCAATGGTGAGTTATTTTCTTTTCCAAATGCACCAATAAATTTTAAAAACCCTTTTTTTCACTAAAGCAGTAGCGCATAACAGTAATCTTATATTTTTTTTGAAAATAAAAATTTAAATGGAAAAAAAAGAATAAAGAGGGGGGCTTGGAATGACTAAAGACTAGAGGAAATGTATTTTGTGCAGGTGTCTTTCTTGTTTATTCTGGGGGGGCCCATTCCGAAATTGGCATCTTTTGAATTTGTGTGAAAATTTGGGAAAATTGTAAATTCTGACCATGTATGGATAGTTGAATTTCATAAATGAGTGGTTTCTTGATCCATTCATAGAAAAAAATGGAGTTTTTAGCGAAATATCAGTTTTTTGTGACTAGTAATGAAATTGGGCCGAAAATGGGGCCAAAGTGGGCAAAATCGCCGATGCGTAAACATCGCCGAGACCGCTAACTTTGCGAGAGCATAATTCCGTAAGTTTTCTATCAAATTTCAAACTTTTGGTGTCTTTATGATCGGGAAAAGATTCTCTATCTTTTCATAAGAGAAAATAATTTTTTTTTTTTTAAATTTGGCCGACCCTGAGAACGAGTTTCGGAGAGGGCCTGTCGACCCTCAAAGGGTTAAAAGGGTTACCCCATTATCAAAAATTACCAAAGGGCAAAATGGGCGACTCATTATCCACAAATTATAGAGGGTAAAAGGTTGCTCTTTAACCCTTTGAGGGTTTTCGTCGTACTAGTACGTCTTACGCGTAGGGGTTTTTGTCGTACTAGTACGCATAAATTCTAGCGGCCTCAAATCTCACAGGAAAAGGCTGATAAGCCTAGATGTGAGAGAATGGGTCTGTGTGGTGGGTGTGCGCAGTAGGAAAAAAATCTGGGACCCAGTGGTGTATTGTGGGAATGCCATCATAGTACACAATTTCCACCGTGCCCTGTGGTAAGAAGTTCCTCACTCCTCGGCGAATTGGGCACTTTTGTTCCCCAGTGACAGTTCTAATACAGATGGAAGTGAAGTGAAGATGAGGGTTTTAAGGTTTGGTGAGGTTTTGACCGAAACTAATGACCATAATATGGGTAAAAGTGAGGAAAACCCAGACAACCACAGCCTTCCACCCCTGGTGTGGGCCGTCGTTCAGTTGTACCAGAATCAAAGAGGGAAAACTCCTATTTCCCAAAATCCCAGACTCAGATGTGAGCATTGGTGATGATAATGATAGTGATTATGAACTACAAGATCTTCAAAACTTGTTCCCAAAAATGGAGGAGGGGAGGAGGAGGAGGCAGAGGAGGAGGAGGCAAGAGGAGGAGGAGGCAAGAGGAGGAGGAGGCAAGAGGGAGGAGGAGGCAAGAGGAGGGGAGGGAGAGGAGGAGGAGGAGGAGGAGGAGGAAGAAGAAGAGGAGGAGGAGGAGGAAGAAGAGGGGGGGGAGGAGAGGAGGAGGAGGAAGAAGAAGAATACGTAATGAAAACAATAATACATAATAATAATACATAATAATAATAATACATAATAATTAATAATAATAATAATAATAATACATAATATAATAATAGGTAATAATAATAATTGTAATAATAAATGTTCACCCATGACAGTAACAAGATAAGGGGAGATAACATTGATAAGTGCTGACGTTTGATGAGGGAAAATGAGGGTAGAGCTAAACCCAAAAAGATGAGATGAACATCGCCCTCCCTTGTTTTTTGCTGGTATCTAACATTTCTGTCTGTCTATTTGCCTGTCTGTCAAGCTCCCTGTCTATCCATCTAGCTCTCTGTCTCAGAGAGCCACAAGACTGCGTCATCACTTTTACTCACTCTTCAAGCAGAGTATAGCATTTTGTCGGGGTTTTTTCTGGGTTATCCAAAGGTAATTTTTTACTATGTATACTTGTATTTTATGTGTACCTGTGAGACGAGATAGACAGACAGATAGAATGAGGGAGAAAGATAATTAATAGAATGGGGAGGGGAAGCAGCATCTGACCCCATTTGTTTTTGACAGGCCGGAGGGGGAAAGAGTAATGAGCCAATATGTCATTTTGACAGCTGCCGACTCCTTGAAATTTACACTATGGACAAGGAGGAGAAGGAGTAGGGGGAGAGGAAGAAGAGGAGGAGGAGGAAGAGGAGGAGGGAAGAGGGGGAAAGAAGGAAAGGAATAAGAGGAAGAGGAGGAGGAAGAGGAATAGTACGAGGAAGATTAGGGGGAAGAGGAGGAAGAGGAAGAAGAGGAGGAGGGGGAAAGAGTAGGAGGAAGAGGAAGAAGAGGAGGAGGAGGAAGAGGAGGAGGGGGAAAGAGGAAGAGTAGGAGGAAGAGGAAGAGGAGGAAGAGGAAGAGTATGAGGAAGAGTGGGGGGAAGAGGAGGAAGAGGAAGAAGAGGAGGAGGGGGGTTTGGAACACTGTACACTGGTACTGGTACACTAACATTTCTGTCTGTCTATTGTCTGTCTGTCAAGCTCCCTGTCTATCTGTCTATCCGTCTTAGCTCTCGTCTCAGAGAGCCACAAGACTGTGTCATCATTTTTTACTCACATCTTCAAGCAGAGTATAGCACTTTGTCTGGATTTCTTGGGTTATCCTAGGTAATTTATACTATGTATACTTGTATTTATGTGTCCTGTGAGACAAGATAGATAGACAGATAAAAAGAGAGACAGATTGAAAGAGATAGAATGAGGGAGAAGATAAACACCTTTGTGTAGGGACACCATGTTTCAGAGTTCCACAAGCTGCAGAACTAATAGGAATATGTTCAGTGACGTATATTGGTATATTATTATAGAACAATAATAATAAACAATGTTTTGTATTGTTTGTTTTTGTAAACAAGTTTTGTAAACAATATATTGATTTAAATTTTGTTTGTGTGCTTATTGTGTTGTATACAACGAGTGTATATATGTACATTGCACCTTACTTTGGTCTCACAGGCCACAAAGTTATGTGAAAAAATAAATAGTGAAAAAACAACAAACCTTCAAATACAAGTAAACTAAAGTTTACCGGGTGAGCGGCAGTCGCCGCTGTTGCCATACGCGGCTCATTTTCTGCAAACTTCATGCATCCATATCTCCGTAAGTATTGATGGTAAATTTTTTTTGTTTATCCTATAATGTTTAGAAAAAAAAACTCTATTTTTTCATAAGAAAAAATAATTTTTTTTTTTTTGAAATTTGGCCGACCCTGAGAACGAGTTTCGGAGAGGGCCTGTCGACCCTCAAAGGGTTAATCACGACTCCCGAAACAATAACAACAATTGCAAACCTATGGTGTGTAGCAGCATACCTTGCTGGACGAGTCTTGTTGTGGCCAGCTGGCTAAATGGCTTTACACAATGGCCTGGAGTTTTAGGGCCAACTTACTATGGGTTCAATCCCCACCCATTCCATGGTTTATTTCTTACCTCACATCTGGCGAGGAATACTACAGAACCCTCAGTATTCAAGGAGTCGGTATCCGTGGTTTCAGTTATCCACAGTTAACTGTGGCCGAAAAGTAAATCTTAATTTTGTTTATTAATGTCCTCAAAGCACAAAAGTAGTGATGCTGGCAGTTCTTCAAAGCCTAAGAAGCTGTGAAATATCTCCCATCTGTGAAAAAGTACTAATTCTAGACTTATTTTGCATCACTTATGAACTAACCTTCATAATAGGTATTTTTATTTTTGTAACAAGTCGGCCGTCTCCCACCGAGGCAGGGTGACCCAAAAAGAAAAAATCCCCAAAGAGAAAATACTTTCATCATTCAACTTTCACCTCATTCACACATAATCACTGTTTTTGCAGAGGTGCTCAGAATACAACAGTTTACAAGCATAT